TTCTTTCTAACCTTTAGTACTTGGCCATCCCGGTAGATAATTTCATCCGGCTCTATGAAAGAAATAACTGGTCATTTTTACGTGCACTCCGTTGTCCGAACTTGGATAAACCCGTTCAGGATTGCCAGTTTTCCCCAGACGGCAAAACCTTGGCTTGTGTCAGTTCTGATGGCTGGCTTCTTATGTGGAATCCGGAAGATGGTACAATCCTAAATAGGTGAGATTTTCCAGACTTTCGGTATTTCTTCGTGTTTCCTACAATATTCTGAATACAGAATTGTTATCCTGCACCAGGTTTCCGAAACTGATCACTAACCCTTTTTAAAAATGGTATCTTTTGTTCCTGGTGAATCAATAATGTCTGTCCTACTTTCATGAATGCCTTGGCAACTTTATTTATCTCACTGGCTGTTCGATTTGCACAGTAATCCTGCTTCAGTTATCGTCGTTAAACACCTTCACTCATTTCCAGGTTGCGTGATTCGGCGTTTGAAAATATTTGCAATATAATATGGCCAGAGCGCTCTACAATCTACGGTGCCGACCGTTTTGGTACAATTGGCTTTATCAATGTTGGCGATTTAAAGTCTTCGAAGGTAAGCCCTTCATCTAAAAATATGTACCTTCATTTTTTACCATCTTTAACTGTGGGACGGCTTTATTCTGGGACATTCGGAAATTCCCGCATCGAATGTCAAACGTTCCATCAACTGTCTATTCCATCCCCCTTCCTATTACCGCAGACCAGTTGATTAAGATTGAACATCTTCGCTTCCCGCGAACGCTGGATGGTTAATTTGCTGGTGTGATTGGGGGAATTTTAGTACCGGCGAATCCCAACTAATTGTATAAATTGTTCAATAGCAGTTGTTTTCGTTCAATCCTGAGCCTGTTGCGACCTAACCACAGAGGCACGTTGACAAGAAAATCTCAATGGCACTTAATGAACGCCATATAACAGTCCCATTATCTTCGAAATATTTTATAAGGCAATGAACTTATGCACTCTATCGACTGTCAATTAGGCTTATTAATTGACGAGTTAGCACCGTCGAATCGTACGTGACGTTAAGAAGTAGAACGTTTGTTACAAAGCGAATGTAGCTAAGGGCTCGTACAGATTTGTGGCGTCGTGGCTTCCGAAGCCAGTTTAATAAACATTGGAGATGATTGATACATGTAAATCGACCGTAGAACTAGCGAACGGTTGGTGGTACTAAGTGAATGAACTTTCTCGGTACATTCAACTTCGACAAAATGCCCAACAGATGGTCAATATTTGTCGACAAACTTTGCAGGCCGGGTATTTAGGCACCGCATATACGAATTAACTGCTTTCACGCATGGGTATTTAAGAGACTTGCGGATTTTATTGATAAAGTCAAACCTGAATGATACGATTAGACGATTAAAATGAGTAAAAAAAACAGACTGTAACTGAAACTATTCGGGCAAAATCACTCGCCAGTGATCTAATGCCCCTGGCAGCACCAAGTGAAAATGATATCGGAATGGATGGTTAATAGGGGAATACTGGATCCTGCCTGCTAGCCACAATATACCACACCTCTTTGCCTTTAGTCCGTTTTTTTGATGTCGATCTTCCTTAGCTACTAACGTTTGTTTGATAACCTCCTAGTTTTATACGGAATGAAGCCTAATTTAACACAAGGGATGTCAAACCTCGTAGTTATTTATACGAAAATGTACTTACATTTCCTCCCTGTTATTTGGAGGTTCTTCTGTCAGTTCTTTTATTTTCAAGCATAATTTGTCTCCCTGTCCACTTTGAAAGAAAGCAGGCCAGTCCGCACCAACTACAGATGAGGCTCTTTCGCCCAACGCCATTCGAGCCCTAATGGAAACCGATGATGCGGATGATTTTGCCGACCTTCTCAATATTGCGGCCTCGCAAGCTGAGGAGCAGAATGCCGCTACGGCAGCCACAGGGGACAATATAGACGATGCGGGCAGTGATGCTGACGATATCGCCATCTCACGCATCAAGTCTAGTTACATGCGACTGGACGAGGAGGAAGAGGATGCGACGAATGGCGTCACGGACGAAGTCAGTCAGTCTCAAGCCCCTCTGCCTGCAGCCCCACTAACGGTTACACGTGTTCCCGAAATCAAGTCATTTCAACCGGGTGCCATGCCCACTGGTACGGTCGTTTACTCTTTGTGCACATAGTTTTTTTTGGATGCCACCTGCACTCACCCGTACGGACACATTCACTATCACTTTGAAATGACGGGGTCTGACGATCGTGGACCAGTATCCGCATGGTACAATGATTTAAGATTTAGTACGTTGACTGCTCTAGAGAATACTCTCAAGAGCCTTGACAACCTTGGCATGCCAGTTGTGAGCCTCAGTGAAATAAGTTTTCTTGGCAGTGCGGCTTCGCGGTTATTTTATTGAATCAGAGCTTTAAAGGAAGAGGAACCCGCCTATACTAAAGAGCAACAAAAAATCATCGCGCAAAGCGTCCAACACACGTTCGACGGCGTCCATTGACCCGATTTGCTTTTCCGCCGTGATTCAGTTGTGCTAGCAAATGGTATTCGAGCTGAACTTCTCAATTTGGGATGAGTGATCCGGATGGTACTTTTCCCCACGTAACCATTCTTGGCACCAGACCGGAACAATTCAACCCATTCTCTTCGCTAACGCCGGAGGCGGATTAATTAAGGCACGAGAATCACTTCCATGTCCTGACGGACTGAGTCGAGGCAGGTTTTCAGCTGACTGCTTCTTCGACGTCTCCATTTGGGTAGCAATGTCGGGTCGAGTGCAGTAGCACTGAGCTCGTGAGGTTGACGACAAAGGACGTTGTCCAGTCAACCTCAGTCGTCTTTCTTTGATGGCTTGGGTTATCCTTGTGATGTTGTCACGGCGAGTGCGAACCGTCTCATTTGCGACACTGTAGGTGTATTTCACTCGAAGGATAGTTCTCAAGCAGGAGTGGTCTGCATAGTTTAGACGTCTTTTGCCTATTTGAATCCTGGAGACCAGAGTTTCGAAGATCGATTTCCACTCCTCATGACCCTTTTTCCAGAAATGGTGTGCTGATGTCCTTCTCGCTGGCTTGATGATCAGTCAACAACCAGGTTATCTGCATATAAGGATATCTATCATCCTTGCCAACACGTCAACACCAGATTTAGACGAGCTGGATTTAGAAACCTAGCTGTGGCTGCACGAAAGCCCCTCTCCGTTACTCCAACCAACCGCCTTACTCGGCGTTCCGAAGTTGGCGTTCGGGGTTGTAGGCCTACCGAGCTTCGGCGAACAGAACCGACGGCCTCTCCCCTCACTCCACGCAGGCAGGTTTCCATTATTGATAAACGTCAGTGAAGAAACCGTTCTCCGGGCGCCCCGTTGTCCTCTTTGGACTTCATTACTGCAACGGAGACTCCTTTCAGTGGGAAGATTACATAAGGCCGCATCGACTGGAGATGGTCGATACCCAAGCTTGCCCAAAAACGTCGCTGTTGGACCTCTAATAAGTTATCAGTGATAAAGTCGCCATTCATATTGTGAACAATAATTTATTTTAACGTGCCTACGGGTAACTTTGCGTTTATTAGAACTTTATTGTGTTGTCAACATGTGAGGTATGCTTTGTGATAGCCGCCATTCCACCCACAAAAGTGTTACGCTCTTATCTAGTCTGCTTTACTGTCCCATTTACACCGTAAACAGTGAGGACTTAATGCAGCCTTCTTACTTGACTTAGTCTGCAGAGTGAGACAGGATGTTTGCGTTCCGACTGTTGAACGTATCCAATTGTCCTAACTCTAATTATTCTCCGCCAGCCTGGACACACCACCATATTTCTGCCTTTATATATTGTCGCAACTGTAAGCCTAATTGTAATATCAGAGGTATACGGAGTCCTGTTGTCTGTTAGTGATGGGCCTTTCAAGCAAACGCTAGGTTGTGGTGTAAGACAAAGGCAAAATGCCCAATCCTGTCGCCTGCTGAGACATTATCTTAGCGTTCAGAGATCGAAGCTGACCTCGAACATCTACTCCTCTGTTTTTGACTTACTAGGTTTTCGGGAACGTTTCATGGTATGGAACCGCGTTGGCGTGGTGACTCGTTTCGCCCAGAACGACAAT